ATAATGAGAGGATACACTGGGGAGATAGCATGTAAAAACGATGGTCCAAAATGAGAATTCTCTGTAATGGGGTTTTCCCTAAGATGAATCCATTCCAGCACATATTTTGAAAAGGTGCTGAATTCAAAAGTATAAGAGTTTTCTCATATAAATGAAGTTTCTCAGGAAATCTGAGGTGATGCTATCATTTGTCTCATAATTTGGAAAAATGATCTTTTGAGAGAGAGACTACACATTGCCCGGGCACTTTCAGATTCTTTAGTAAGTGCCCCTTTGATATTTGGAATATAGATATATTTATAAAACAAAAGGATTGTTATCCCAAATGCTCATGGATTTATAACCAAGCCCCAGAAGAATAGGCAGGTTTGAAATAGCTATTTCATGGAATTAAAAGAACCTTGATGGAATATAGTTACCTGTGTGAGAACAGAAAACAAAGAGGCTGCCTCAAACCACATCTAGAGATTAAGTAAAACTATGAGGGACACTTTGTGGATGCCTTAAAGGTGACCAGTGGTGGGTTCTAATGGGAATATACACACCCATCTGGACTAAGCCAATGGAAGCAGTCTCTTTCAGTTCATCTTCATACAGCACAAGTTGTTCCTGCTCATGACCTCATTGAGGAAAATGAGAAACGTGGTGCTGGTGACTTTCATGTGTCTTGGGAGGTTGGGGTGTTCAGCATGGTTAAGTCACTCCCAAAACGCAAACCTCCTTTTTTAAATGCCAATTGTACATCTACATTAATTCATCTATGCAAGCTTGTGTTTTCATGGTTTGTTTTTTACACCATATTTCTCATTGGGTTCTTTAAACATCCAGTTTAATACTGATATTATGAATAATTTTTAAACCAAAGTATTCTATAAGTCTGTGTGCTTTGTTTTCCTGGATGGTTTGACCAAGGTAAACACCAGTCTTGTCCTTCTCTCTTAATAAAGTCATCCATTTCTTAAGTCAGTGGTCTTTGTCTCATGTTTCTGTTTTGTTTCTTTACAGCATTCTAGGAAGGGAAGTTATGAGAGTATTATTATTTTTACAAAATGACCCTAATAGATCTGTTTAATAACAGTAAAATTTTCTCTTACTCCAGTTTCATACACGTTCTGTAAATATGTATGACATGATAATGAAGCCTGGTGTATTGAAATTCTCAATAAATACTGCCAACTATGGATCAGTTGGAGAAGTACCTTTGTTTTGTGTATAGCGTATGGTGGTTTGATGTATTTGTGAGAAAAAATAGGTAAGTGGATGTTCACACAATAATCCTAATGATTAAAGACTCCATCACAACTCACCTGCACTATACCTAACACCTTGTAGATACTTAAATGTGTTTTGAGAAAATGGATAACTGATTTATTCAATGTTATACCTTTATAGGACTTATTTTTATTTTAGTTGTTTTGATAGAATAGCCACGATATGGGAAATGATTCTGGAAACATCAGGTATCTTAAAAATATTTTCAGTGACTACTAAATTAATTTTTAAAGATGTCACTATTTAGCCACCCTATAGCAGATTCTCTAGACCTCAGATTCCTCTGTGGTAAATAAAACAGGGAATCTAAATTGTCCCTGTAGTCTCTGCTAGATCTTGAGTAGCACCAGTGGTGCGCAGGTGATACTGTTTTTTTTAGTTGAAGAACATTGGTATGTTGATTTCAACCTTTGGTCTCTAATTACCAAAGTTACTAATGGAAAAAGTTGATGCATCTAGAAGCCAATTAAAAAAATTAAATATGTAAGTAAAATAGCTCCCTTTAATCTGTGGTAAGAGGTACTCAAGGAGATAGGGTGATTTATGTGGATATGTCAGGCTATGGCCATGTGGAGGCCATGTGAAGAAGTAACATACTAGAAAGTCCCTTAAAGCTAAGAGACAGCTATCCACCTTGCACACCTTAGACATTTGGGGAAACCTTTAAGAGGGTTTTGGACTACTGCAAATCCTAGAGTCACAGTTTGAAGACAATTTTGTCCCCATTTCAAGGGCAGGAAGACCACTTCCCTGCCTCCATTGTGTTTGTGTATCATGCTTAAATGAACGAACACAAACTAAAGACTGCTGCAAAATCAGTGTACTAAAGAAATCTACAGGAATAAGGAGATGTGGGTCCTAGTCCAGGTTTTGCTATGAGCTTGTTTCAGGGACTTGGGACATCATTTATCCTGCTCTGTACCTCAGTTCACTTGCCTGAAGTACTCCTTCAAGTGTAACATTGGAGGAGTCCAGCTGTCAAGGGCTGCTAATTTCTTTTAAGATGTTGCCAGGAGGAGAGCAGCTTTATGCACTACCGGGTGCCTGCAGAATCACAAAGACTTCCTAGGCATTCCATCATGAAAGGCCTCAAGGGTGATCCTTTGTTCTTTACAGCACTATTTACAGCTACTTGTATCTCCACATCCAGTAGATTGTCATTAACTTGTGTATGTGGGTGTGTGTGTGTTTGCAAAAAATAAACATATTACAAATTTTATTGAAAGGATATGTCATATACAACTTACAAATAATATGTAATCTCTCTTCTATATAGTGAACTTATAGAATGTTCTCATTGATTTATTCAAACTCATGTATTTTTAGTTAACCTATGGTTGCAATTAACAAATGAGCAATTCTAAAATAAATGTCGATTGACATTTTCACTTATATTGACAAGATGAGAGTGTAACAGTACAATTGGATGTCTGAAGTTGACTCTGGTTAACAATGTCAGTTCTTTGCTGAGTTTAAAACTTTTTAAACACTTAAAGAATATTCCTCAGTATTTTGTGCTATTCACAATGTAACAGCTACAGACATTTTAAAGTTTTATCCTACAGTATTAACCATGTTAACATTTTCCCCCATCTTTTTAAAGCCAGTTATTAAGCACATCCATCTTTTTAAAGTAGACAGTCAATAAAACAGTAATTCAAGCTCTGATTTAAGTTTTTCCGATATCCGTGGTAAAAATACTCGATCCATAGCCTATTTCATATATTACCTATTTCATATATCACCAAATACAGAATCAATAAGTAACACACCATTATGTAGTATTTCCATTACAGAAATAAAAGATACAACCTCAAAAGTATAGATAATAGTAAACTAAATAGTAATATTTATAATCTTTGTTTTTAATATGATTTACTTAATTGTAACTTTAATTTTTAATAATGGATGTGGTTAGTAACTGGCTTGCCACATTCTTGAAGAATTTTAAGTTCTGAGATATATGTGCAGAATGTGCAGATTTGTTACATAGGTATACAGGTGACATGGTTTGCCGCACCCATGAACGCATTGTCAACATTAGGTATTTCTCCTAATGCTATCCTTCCCCTACCCCCTGACCCCCAACAGGTCCCGGTGTGTGATGTTCCCCTTCCTGTGTCTACGCGTTCTAATTGTTCAGCTCCCACTTATGAGTGAGAACATGAGGTGTTTGGTTTTTGGTTCTTGTGTAAGTTTTCTGAGAATGACTGTTTCTAGCTTCATGTTGCTGCAAAGGACGTGAACTTATCCTTTTTTATGGCTGCATAGTATTCCATGTTGTATATATGCCACATAATTATCCAGTGTGTCATTGATGGGCATTTGGGTTGGTTCCAAGTCTTTGCTATTGTGAACAGTGCTGCAATAAACATATGGTTACATGTGTCTTTATAGTAGAATGATTTATAATCCTTTGGGTATATACCCAGTAATGGGATTGCTGAGTCAGATGATCTATCTGGCTCTATATCCTTCAGGAGTCGCCACACTGTCTTCCACAATGGTTGAACTAATTTACACTCCCACCAGAAGTATAAAAGCGTACTTATTTCTCCACATCCTTTCTAGCATCTGTTGTTTTCTGGCTTTTTAATCACCATTCTGACTGGCTTGAGATGGTATCTCATTGTAGTTTTGATTTGCATTTCTCATGACCAGTGATGATGAGCTTTTTTCATATGTTTGTTGGCCTCATAAATGTCTTCTTTTGAGAAGCATCTGTTGACATCCTTTGCCCACTTTTTGATGGGGTGTTTTTTGTTTTTTTTTTTCTTGTAAATTTAAGTTCTTTGTAGATTCTGGATATTAGCCCTTTGTCAGATGGATAGGTTGCAAAAATTTTCTCCCATTCTGTAGATTGTCTGTTCACTCTGATGGTAGTTTCTTTTGCTGTGTAGAAGTAATTTAGTTTAATTAGGTCCCATTTGTCAATTTTGGCTTTTTTGTATGTGTTTTTCTAACCAATGTCCATCTCGATGTTTTATTCCCCAGCTTGAAATTTGAGCCTCTTTCCTCAAATGGTCTTTGAATGTTCTTGTAAATTAACTGCGCTAGTATTTCTTGCTTACTGTACTCCCAGGACACACCTTTCTTAAACAAATTCCTCAGCCTGATGATGCAAATTTGGTATTGGTCTTGTAGATCATAGTATGCCCTTAATTATGCCTGCCACTTTAAATTATTTTGTATCATTACCTGATCTTTGCCTTCACTAGCAGTGCTCTTCGTGCCTAACGAATCTTTTTGAAACCTTCCCTGCTGGTCTCTCAAGCCCTCCTTCCCTCAAATCCTTGTACAGGCTTCAGGGGCTCTCAGACACAGACAGGTAAATCTACCATTGACTATAAGGGTTTATGTCTACATGAAAATGGCCCTTTTGGCTTGGAGAGGACAGTACCAATTGGCGTATATCAGTTTTTTTTTTTCTTTTATAGATTATTCTTTGGTGTCACGTCTAAGAACTCTCTACCTAGTCCTACATCCTGAATATTTTTCTCCATTTTGGAGTGGCTTTTGTATAAAGCGAGATTGAGGATAAGGTTTCTGTTTTTTACATGGATGTTTAATTGCTCCAGAACCATTTTCTTGTTATCTTTTAAAAATTAACTCTCCCATTTTTAGTTTGATTCTGTTGTGGTTAGAGAAGACACTGCATGATTCCAGTTTCATTAAATTTGTTGAAGTTTGGGGCGTGGTATGGTGGCTTACGCCTGTAAGCTCAGCACTTTGGGAGGCTGAGGCAGGTGGATCATGAGGTCAGGAAATTGAGACCATGCTGGCAAATATGGTGAAACCATGTCTCTACTAAAAATACAAAAATTAGCCGGGCATGGTGGCAGGTGCCTGTAGTCAGCTACTGAGGAGGCTGAGGCAGGAGAATCGCTTTCACTTGCGAGATGCACGTTATGGTGAGATTGCACCACTGCACTCCAGCATGGTCGACAGAACTAGACTCTATCTCAAAAAAAAAAAAAAAATTGAAGTTTGTTTCATAGCCTTGGGATATTGCCTATGTTAGTATGTGTTCCATAAGCACTAAAAAGAACGTGTGTTGTGTTGCTGTGGGTGGAGTGTTCTACGTACTTATTCTTCTTGACTTATAATGGAGTTACGTCTGCATAAACTCATTAAGTTGAAAATGCCTTTCAACTTAATCTTTATTTATTTTTTTAAATAGAGGTGGAGTTTCACCATGCTGGCCAGGCTGGTCTTGAACTCCTGACCTCGTGATCTGCCTGCCTCAGCCTCCGAAAGTGCTGGGATTACAGACCTGAGCCACTGCACCCGGCCTCAACTTAATAATTTCAACTTATGATGGGTTTATCCAGATGTAAACCCATCCTCATTTTTGTAATCATATTTATCTAGATGCAACATCATTTTCATACAGTCAGGGGCCATCTTTATGCTCATTAGATCTTGTTGGTCAGTGGTATTGTTCTTCTATATTCTCACTGATTTCTGCCTAGTTGTTCTATCAGTTGTCAAGAGAGTGGTGTTGAAGTCTCTACTTCTGGATTTGTCTATTTTTTTGATTGCATTTTAGGTTTTGGGGTACATGTGAAGAACATGCAAGATGGTTGCATAGGTACACATGTGGCAGTGTGATTTGCTGCCTTCCTCCCCTTCACCTATATCTGGCATTTCTCCCCATGCTATTTCTCCCCAACCCCCCCCCCCGCTGTCCCTCCCCTATTTCCTCCAACAGATCCCAGTGTGTAGTGCTCCCCTCCCTGTGTCCATGTGTTCTCATTGTTCTCATTGTTCTATGAGTGAGAACATGTGGTGTTTGGTCTTCTGCTCTTGTGTCAGTTTGCTGAGAATGATGGTTTCCAGGTTCATCCATGTCCCTACAAAGGACACGAACTCATCGTTTTTGATCACTGCATAATATTCCATGGCGTATATGTGCCACATTTTCCCTGTCCAGTCTATCATTGATGGGCATTTGGGTTGGTTCCAGGTCTTTGCTATTGTAAACAGTGCCGCAATGAACATTCGTGTGCATGTGTCCTTGTAGAACTGGATTTGTCTGTTTTTTAAAAAATCAGTTCTATCAATTTTTGCTTTACATATTTTACAGTTGTCATTTGATATTCTGTACGTGTGTGTGTGTGTGTGTGTGTGTGTGTGTGTGTGTGTTTTATAGCAGGGTTCTCCAGAGGGACAGAACTAATAGGATATAGAAATATGAAAGAGAGTTTATTAGGGAGAATTGACTCCTATGATTACAAGGTGGAGTTGCATGATAGGCCATCTGCAAGCTGGGGAAGATAGAAGATGATAGTGCCTCTGTCCAAGTCCGAAATCCTCAAAACCAGGGAAACTGCAGCTTTCAGTCTGTGGCCAAAGCCCAAGAGCCCATGGTAAGCCACTGGTAGAAGTCACAGAGTCCAAAGGCCAATCCAGCATGGGGGAAGAAGGCAGCCAGAAAAGTCAGCAGGCAAAGCTTATCCCACCTTCCTCCACCTGCTTTGTTCTAGGCGCACTGGCGGCTGATTGGATGGTACCCACCTGTATTGAGAGTGGGTCTTACTCTTCCAGTCCACTGACACAAATGTCAGTCTCCTTTGATAACACCTTCACAGACACACCCAGAAATAATACTTTACCAGCCATTTAGGCATCCTTCAAATTGACACCTAATATTAATCATCATAGATACATACATGTCATGTCTTAGTGGAGTGACTGTTTAACCATGGACAGGTCCTGGACCTTGGCCTGTCAGAAATGGAGCCACACAGCAGGAGCTGAGCTGCAGTTGAATGAACGTCATGGCCTGATCTCTGCCTCCTGTCGGATCAGCAGCAGCATTAGATTCTCAGGAACGCAAACATTATTGTGAACCCTGCAAGCAAAAGATCTAGGTTGCCGGCTCCTTACGAGAATCTAATGCCTGAGGATTTGAGATGGAACAGTTTCATCCCAAACCATCTCCACCCACCCTCCTGTCCTTATCCATGGGAAAATTGTCTTCTAAAAAACCAGTCCCTGATGCTAAAAAGTTGAAGACCACTGGTTTTGAAAACGTCATGGCCATGTTAGTCCTAGTATATGTAAGAGGAGAAGAAAACCCAGGAATACCGTGTTCCTTAGGTTCCAAAGTTCTTTGCTTTATTTGTTTGTTCAGCATCCTATGTTGTTGTATAATATGTTTAGGTGTCTTAGTTGTATTTAGTGGGAGGAATAGGGAAAATATATCTTTTGTTTCCTAGAAATGGAAATCTCCAATATTTATATATTTTAATCTCATTTTAATTAGGTTTTGAGATTTATTAGGAATTTATTTTGATGTGATTAGTTTTGTTTTCTGTTCATTTCTGCCTATGCTATTTATTAACCAACTCATTGTTTTATAGATTTGAAATCCACTATTATAATAGTTCTAATTCTGTACTTTTTGTTTAAAAAATTATATTTGTCTAGTGGCACATTTCAAATTACTAAATAATATCTAATGAGATGTGCTCCTTTTTATTACCCTTTCAAAAAAAATGGCTATTTCCTATTTATTACCTCAGTGGAAGATTAAAGCAATTTTGGCATTCTTTTCCTTTTTATTTTTTACTATGTTCTGCATTTATTTATTTTGCTGGTGTATTTTTTATTATGAAATCTGCATAACAAAATATGAAATTTTACTATTTTAAGTGTATGATCCAGTGATACTAATTTTATTCACAGTGTTGGCAATTACTATTACCAAAACTTTTCAATTGCCCAAAATGTAAACTCTGTACTCATTAGTAACTCTTCATTCTTTCCCTTCCCCAACTTCTAGCAATCTAACCTTCTTGTCTCTATGAATTTGTCTGTTTTAGATATTTCGTAATGGTGGAATCAAACTACTTCTTGCATGTCTGGCTTATTGTACTTATCATACTGTTCAAGGTTCACTCACATAGCATTTATCAGCAGTTCATTTTTATGACTGAATAATAAAGTACATATGACATTTTGTGAATGCAGTTATCTATTGATAGACACTAGATTGTTTCCACCTTTTGGCCATTGTGAATAAATGCTTAAATGAACATTGTAGTACCAGTATTTGAGTCTCTATTTTCAGTTCTTCTGGTTTTATATGTTGGAATTGCTGGATCACGTGGTAACTCTGTTTAACTTTTGGAAGAACCGCTAAACTTTTCTGTAATAAGTACACCATTTTACATTCCCATCAGCAATTTCTCCACATTCTCATCAACACTTGATCTTTTCTTTTTCTTTCCCTAATAGTCATCCTAATTGTGTGTGAAATGAGGCTCCAACTTCATTATTTTGTATCTGGAAACCTACTGTATGTCTCAGCACTGTATGTTGAACAGATTTTCTTTCCCTTATTGAATAAACTTGGCACCTTTGAGGAAAATCAATTGGCCATAAGTTTGTGGGTTTAATTCTAGACCTCAGTTCTGTTCCATTGGTCTGTATGTTTAGCCTTATGCCAGCACTACACTATTTTGATTACTGGAGCTTTGTAGTAAGTTTTGAAATTGGAGATTGTGACTGTGTGTGTGTGTGTGTGTGTGTGTGTGTGTGTGTGTGTATGATTTTGGCTGTGAGGGTCCCCATTCCAATTCCAAATGAATTTTAAGATGAGCCTTTCATTTCTACAAAAATACTGTAGCAATTTTGATAAGGATTGCATTGAATCCACAGGTCTTTTGGGTAACAATGTCATCTTAACCATATTGAGTTCTTCAATCCGTGATCATGGAATGTCTTTCCATTGATTTATGTTAATTTTATTTTAAATGATATTTTATAGTTTATTGTGTATAGTCTTTCACACCTGTGGTTAAATTTATTCTTCTTATTCCTTGTATTTTAGAAGCTATTGTAAATGAAATTGCTTTCTTAATTTCCTTTTTTGATTATCACTAGTGTGTAGAAACAACTGATTTTTATTTATTGATCTTATAACTTGCAACTTTGCTTAACTCTAGTATCTGTCTTGTGGATTCATTGGGACTTTCAATACATAGGATTATGTTATAGGCAAAGAGAGATAGCTTTACTTCCTCCTTTCAAATTGAGATGCCTTTGTAGTAGTCTGTTTTGCATTACTAGGAAGAATTACCTCAGGCTGGGCACTTTCTAAAGAAAAGAGGTTTATTTGGCTCATGGCTCTACAGACTGTACAAGAAGCATGATACCAATATCTGCTACTGTTGAGGACATCAGAAAGCTTACAGTAATTGTGGAAGGCAAAAGGATAGCAGATGTGTCATGGTAAGAGAGGGAGCAAGAAAGAGGGAGGATGCCCCAGACTCTTCTTAGCAACCAGATCTTTTATGAAATCATTACTGTGGGGAGAACACCAAGCCATTTGTGAGGGGTCTGCTCCCATGACCCAAACACCTTCCACTAGGTTCCACCTCCAACATTAGAGATCAAATTTCAACATGAGATTTGGAGTTGAAATCTAAATATCCAAACTATAAAATTCTGCCCCTGGCTCCCCAAAACCCATGTCCTCCTCACATTGCAAAATAAAATCATTCCTTCCCAATAGTCCCCAAAAGTCTTAACTCATTCTGCCATCAACTCAAAAGTCAAAAGTCTTATTTGAGATTCAAGGCAAGTTCCTTCCACTTATGAGTCTGTAATATCAAAAACAAGTTATTTACTTCCAAGATGTTATGCAATGGTGGTACAGGCATTGAGTAAACATTCCCATTCTGAAGGAGATTGGCCAAAAGAAAAGGGCAACAGACTTAGCCAGCAAGTCCAAAACCCAGCAGGGAAGATGTTAAACCTAAAACCTCCAAAATAACTCTTGACTTCATGTCTCACATCCTGGGCACACTAGTTCAAGGAGTAGGTCCCCAAGGCTTTAGACGGCTCTACCCCTTTGGGTTTGCTGGGTGCCGCTTATGTGGCTGCACTCATGAGTTGGAGTTAAATACTTGCAGCTTTTCAAGTTAAAGGTGCACACTGCTGGTTACTCTACCACTCTGGGGTCTGGAGGGCAGTGGACCAGCTCATAGCTCCACTAGGCAGTGTCCGAGTGAGGACTCTGTGTGGAGTCTCCAACTTTACATTTCCCCTTGGCAGTGTCCTAGTAGAGGTTTCCTATGGAGACTCTGCCCCTGTAGTAGGCTTCTGCCCAGGCACCTAGGCTTTCTGATATATCCCCTGAGATCTACGTGGAAGCTGCCAAACCTCCACTCTTGCAGTCTGCACACCCACAGACTTAACACTATGTGGATGCTTCCAAGACTTATGGCTTGCACCTTTCAGAATGGCGTCTTGAGCTGTACATGGGGCCCTTTGAGATTTGGATGTAGCTAGAACCACCAGATTTCAGGGAACATCTCCCCAAAGTGGCACAGAGCAACAGGACCCTGGGCCTGGCCCCTGAAACTATTCTTTGTTCCTAGGTTTCTGGGCCTGTGATGCGAAGGCCCACCTCAGATATTTCTGAAATACCTTGAGACCTTTTTAAAAATTGTCTTGGCTATTAGGACATGGTTCCCATTTATTGATGCTAATATCTCTAGCAATGGTTGCTTGCTCAAATTCCTTATCTGCAAATGCTCTTTCCTTCTCTACCACATGGCCAGGTTGTAGATTACCCAAATTGTTACCCTCTACTCCTTTTTAAATTATAAGTGCCAACTTTAGTTTTTTCTTTACTCCCATATCTGATCATTGGCCATGAGAAGCTGGCACACCAAATCTTTCATGCTTTGCTGCTTAGAAATTTCTTCCCCCAGGTACCCTAAGTCATACTCAAGTTAAGCCTTCCGCAAAGTCATAGGACATAGACAAATGTAGCCATGTTCATTGCTAGGGCATAACAAGAGTAATCTTTGCTCCAGTTGCAAGTAAGTTCCTCTTTTTCACCTGAGACTTTATCAGCCCAGGCTTCACTCTCCATATTTCTATCAGCATTATGGTCACAATCATTTAAACAGATTTTTAAGAAGTACCGAATTTGTCTTCCCGTCATCTGAGCCCTCCAAACTATTCTAACCTGTGCCTACCACCCAGTTTTAGAGCTGCTTCCATATTTTCAGGTTTTATCACAATGCCCCACTCCTTGGTACCAATTTTCTGCATAGTAAGTCTTGTATTGCTATAAGGGAATAGTTGATACTGGGTAATTTATAAAGAAAATAGGCTTATTTGAACCATGATTCTGTAGGCTATATAGGAAATATAGTACCAGCATCTGATTTCTAGTGAAGGCCTCAAGAAGCTTACAATCATAATGGAAAGTAAAGGAGAAGCAGATATGTCATACGGCAAGAAAGGGAGCAAGAGATGGGGAAGTCCCCTGACTCTTTTTAACAACCAGATCTCATGTGAATGTATTAGGAGAGCACCAAGCCTTTCATGAAGGATCTGCCTCCATGACACAAACACCTCCCACCAGCCCCACCTCCAACACTGGAGATAATATTTCAACATGAGATTTGAAGGATACAAGTATCTATAACAGCCTTTATATCTTTTTTACATCTACTTGTTCTGGCTAGAATTTATGTGTGATATTGAATAACAGCAGTGAAAGTGGGCATCTTTGAGAGGGCAATGCTTACCTCTTAGAATGAGTTAA